GCTGTACCACCCAGGTCAGCTGTGCCACCCAGGTCAGCTGTAAGAGCCAGGTCAGCTGTACCACCCAGGTCAGCTGTACCACCCAGAGGCAGCCACACCGGCTGTACCACCCAGGTCAGCTGTACCACCCAGGTCAGCTGTACCACCCAGGTCAACCACACCTGCTATACCGCACCACCTGTACCGCGCCTGCTGTACCACACCACCTGTACCACACCAGCTGTACCACACGACCTGTACCACACCACCTGTACCACGCCTGCTGTACCACACCAGCTGTATCGCACCAGCTGTACCACACCACCTGTACCACACCACCTGTACCACGCCTGCTGTACCACACCACCTGTACCACACCAGCTGTGCCACGCCTGCTGTACCACACCACCTGTACCACACCAGCTGTACCACACCACCTGTACCACACCAGCTGTGCCACGCCTGCTGTACCACACCACCTGTACCACACCAGCTGTGCCACGCCTGCTGTACCACGCCAGCTGTGCCACGCCTGCTGTACCACACCAGCTGTACCACACCACCTGTACCACACCAGCTGTACCACACCAGCTGTACCACACCAGCTGTGCCACGCCTGCTGTACCACACCACCTGTGCCACGCCTGCTGTACCACGCCTGCTGTACCACACCAGCTGTGCCACGCCTGCTGTACCACGCCTGCTGTACCACACCAGCTGTACCAGCTTTGCCACCCAGACAAGCCAAACCGGCTGAACCACCTAATCCTGCTGAAGCATCTTTGTGTGTACACGTGACTCTGTGTGTGTGTGTACACGTGACTCTGTGTGTGTGTGTACACGTGACTCTGTGTGTGTGTGTACACGTGACTCTGTGTGTGTGTACACGTGACTCTGTGTGTGTGTCTATGAGTGTCTGTGTGTGCGTCTATGAGTGTCTCTGTGTGTATGTCTACACGTGACTCTGTGTGTGTGTGTACACGTGACTCTGTATGTATGTCTATGAGTGTCTGTGTGTGTGTCTATGAGTGTCTCTGTGTGTGTGTCTATGAGTGTCTGTGTGTGTGTACACGTGACTCTGTGTGTGTGTCTATGAGTGTCTGTGTGTGTGTCTATGAGTGTCTCTGTGTGTGTGTCTGAGTGTCTGTGTGTGTGTGTACACGTGACTCTGTGTGTGTGTCTATGAGTGTCTGTCTGTGTGTCTATGAGTGTCTCTGTGTGTGTGTGTACACGTGTCTCTGTGTGTGTGTGTACACGTGACTCTGTGTGTGTGTGTGTACACGTGACTCTGTGTGTGTGTCTATGAGTGTCTGTGTGTGTATGTCTATGAGTGTCTGTGTGTGTGTCTATGAGTGTCTCTGTGTGTGTGTCTATGAGTGTCTCTGTGTGTGTGTGTACACGTGACTCTGTGTGTGTGTGTACACGTGACTCTATGTGTGTGTACACGTGACTCTGTGTGTGTGTCTATGCGTGTCTGTGTGTGCGTCTATGAGTGTCTCTGTGTGTGTCTACACGTGACTGTGTGTGTGTGTGTACACGTGACTCTGTCTGTGTGTGTGTCTGAGTGTCTCTGTGTGTGTGTGTACACGTGACTCTGTATGTATGTCTATGAGTGTCTGTGTGTGTGTCTGAGTGTCTCTGTGTGTGTGTCTATGAGTGTCTCTGTGTGTGTGTGTACACGTGACTCTGTGTGTGTGTCTATGAGTGTCTGTGTCTATGAGTGTCTGTGTGTGTGTGTGTACACGTGTCTCTGTGTGTGTGTGTGTACACGTGACTCTGTGTGTGTGTGTACACGTGACTCTGTATGTGTGTGTACACGTGACTCTGTGTGTGTGTGTACACGTGACTCTGTGTGTGTGTACACGTGACTCTGTGTGTGTGTCTATGAGTGTCTGTGTGTGTGTCTATGAGTGTCTGTGTGTGTGTGTGTGTACACGTGACTCTGTGTGTGTGTGTACACGTGACTCTGTGTGTGTGTACACGTGACTCTGTATGTATGTCTATGAGTGTCTGTGTGTGTGTCTATGAGTGTCTCTGTGTGTGTGTCTATGAGTGTCTGTGTGTGTGTGTACACGTGACTCTGTGTGTGTGTGTACACGTGACTCTATGTGTGTGTACACGTGACTCTGTGTGTGTGTCTATGCGTGTCTGTGTGTGCGTCTATGAGTGTCTCTGTGTGTGTGTCTACACGTGACTGTGTGTGTGTGTGTGTACACGTGACTCTGTATGTATGTCTATGAGTGTCTGTGTGTGTGTCTGAGTGTCTCTGTGTGTGTGTCTATGAGTGTCTGTGTGTGTGTGTGTACACGTGACTCTGTGTGTGTCTATGAGTGTCTGTGTCTATGAGTGTCTGTGTGTGTGTGTACACGTGTCTCTGTGTGTGTGTGTACACGTGACTCTGTGTGTGTGTGTGTACACGTGACTCTGTATGTGTGTGTACACGTGACTCTGTGTGTATGTCTATGAGTGTCTGTGTGTGTGTCTATGAGTGTCTCTGTGTGTGTGTGTACACGTGACTCTGTGTGTGTGTACACGTGACTGTGTGTGTGTCTATGAGTGTCTGTGTGTGTGTCTATGAGTGTCTCTGTGTGTGTGTACACGTGTCACTGTGTGTGTGTACACGTGACTCTGTGTGCGTGTGTGTACACGTGACTCTGTGTGTGTGTGTACACGTGACTCTGTGTGTATGTCTATGAGTGTCTGTGTGTGTGTCTATGAGTGTCTCTGTGTGTGTGTCTATGAGTGTATGTCTATGAGTGTGTGTCTATGAGTGTGTGTCTATGAGTGTATGTCTATGAGTCTCTGTGAGTGTATGTCTATGAGTGTGTGTCTATGAGTGTGTGTCTATAAGTGTGTGTCTATGAGTGTATGTCTATGAGTCTCTATGAGTGAGTGTCTATGAGTGTATGTCTATGAGTCTCTATGAGTGTGTGTCTATGAGTGTATGTCTATGAGTGTGTGTCTATGAGTGTGTGTCTATGAGTGTATGTCTATGAGTCTCTATGAGTGTATGTCTATGAGTGTATGTCTATGAGTGTGTGTCTATGAGTGTATGTCTATGAGTGTATGTCTATGAGTCTCTATGAGTGTGTGTCTATGAGTGTATGTCTATGAGTCTCTATGAGTGTGTGTCTATGAGTGTATGTCTATGAATGTATGTCTAAGACTGTATGTCTATGAGTCTCTATGAGTGTATGTCTATGAGTGTGTATGAGTGTGTGTCTATGAGTCTCTATGAGTGTGTCTACGAGTGTATGTCTATGAGTGTGTGTCTATGAGTGTGTGTCTATGAGTGTATGTCTATGAGTCTCTATGAGTGAGTCTCTATGAGTGTGTTTCTATGAGTGTATGTCTATGAGTGTATGTCTATGAGTCTCTATGAGTCTCTATGAGTGTGTGTCTATGAGTCTCTGTGAGTCTCTATGAGTGTATGTCTATGAATGTGTGTCTATGAGTGTAGGTCTATGAGTGTATGTCTATGAGTGTATGTCTATGAGTGTATGTCTATGAGTCTCTATGAGTGTGTGTCTATGAGTGTGTGTCTATGAGTGTATGTCTATGAGTCTCTATGAGTGTGTGTCTATGAGTGTGTGTCTATGAGTGTATGTCTATGAGTGTATGTCTATGAGTCTCTGTGAGTCTCTATGAGTGTATGTCTATGAGTGTGTCTATGAGTGTGTGTCTATGAGTCTCTATGAGTGTGTGTCTATGAGTGTGTGTCTATGAGTCTATATGAGTGTGTGTCTATGAGTGTGTGTCTATGAGTCTCTATGTCTATGAGTCTCTATGAGTGTATGTCTATGAGTGTATGTCTATGAGTGTGTGTCTATGAGTGTATGTCTATGAGTGTATGTCTATGAGTCTCTATGAGTGTATGTCTATGAGTGTATGTCTATGAGTGTATGTCTATGAGTCTCTATGAGTGTGTGTCTATGAGTGTGTGTCTATGAGTGTATGTCTATGAGTGTATGTCTATGAGTCTCTGTGAGTCTCTATGAGTGTATGTCTATGAGTTTGTGTCTATGAGTGTATGTCTATGAGTGTCTATGAGTGTGTGTCTATGAGTGTATGTCTATGAGTGTCTATGAGTGTATGTCTGTGAGTGTATGTCTATGAGTGTGTGTCTATGAGTCTCTATGAGTGTATGTCTATGAGTATGTGTCTATGAGTGTGTGTCTATGAGTGTGTGTCTATGAGTGTGTCTATGAGTGTGTCTATGAGTGTGTGTCTATGAGTCTCTATGAGTGTATGTCTATGAGTATGTGTCTATGAGTGTGTGTCTATGAGTGTATGTCTATGCGCCTCTATGAGTGTGTGTCTATGAGTGTATGTCTATGAGTGTGTGTCTATGAGTGTCTATGAGTGTATGTCTATGAGTGTGTGTCTATGAGTGTGTGTCTATGAGTGTATGTCTATGAGTCTCTATGAGTGTATGTCTATGAGTGTGTGTCTATGAGTGTGTGTCTATGAGTGTATGTCTATGAGTCTCTGTGAGTGTGTGTCTATGAGTCTCTATGAGTGTATGTCTATGAGTGTATGTCTATGAGTGTATGTCTATGAGTGTGTCTATGAGTGTATGTCTATGAGTCTCTATGAGTGTATGTCTATGAGTCTCTATGAGTGTATGTCTATGAGTGTGTGTCTATGAGTGTATGTCTATGAGTCTCTATGAGTGTATGTCTATGAGTCTCTATGAGTGTATGTCTATGAGTCTCTATGAGTGTATGTCTATGAGTGTGTGTCTATGAGTGTATGTCTATAAGTCTCTATGAGTGTATGTCTATGAGTCTCTATGAGTGTATGTCTATGAGTGTATGTCTATAAGTCTCTATGAGTGTATGTCTATGAGTCTCTATGAGTGTATGTCTATGAGTGTATGTCTATGAGTCTCTATGAGTGTATGTCTATGAGTGTATGTCTATGAGTGTATGTCTATGAGTGTATGTCTATGAGTGTATGTCTATGAGTGTGTGTCTATGAGTCTCTATGAGTGTATGTCTATGAGTCTCTGTGAGTCTCACCCAATGCTGCCGGGCCAGATCGCGTCGCTCGATGCGAAGGCGGTGATGATGATGATGACGATGGCTGTTGTTGTTGTTGTTGCTGTTGTTGTTGTAGCCGCTGCCTGTTGTTGTTGTTGATGTCTATCGAGGAGTCTCTGCGGCTGTCTCCCGCCACGAGACAGAGACAGAGACACAGCAGCAGCAGGCAGTGGGACAGATAGCAGAGAGACGAGTTGGGCTGTAGGGGCATGGCGAGAGAGACGACGTGCAGGGGGGCAGGGGGTGGGGGTGGAGGGGGGTGGTGGAGGGGGTGGAGGGGGGTGGTGGAGGTGGTGGTGGAGGGGGTGAAGGGGGGTGGTGGTGGTGGGGGGTGGTGGTGGAGGGGAGCAGGGGGTGGGGGTGGTGGTGGAGGGGGGTGGTGGTGGAGGGGGTGGTGGTGGAGGGGGGTGATGGGGGTGGTGGTGGAGGGGGGAGGAGGAGGTGATGGTGGAGGTGGATAGGAATTTAAATTCCTCCCGCGGAGACACGGGGAGGGAGACACGGGGAGAGACACGGGGAGGGAGACACGGGGAGGGAGACACGGGGGGGATGGAGGGAGACACGGGGAGAGACACGGAGAGGGAGACACGGGGAGGGAGACACGGGGAGAGACACGGGGAGGGAGACACGGGGAGACACGGGGAGACAGACGGGGAGAGACACGGGGAGAGACACGGGGAGGGAGACACGGGGAGGGAGACACGAGGAGGGAGACACGGGGAGAGACACGGGGAGACACGGGGAGGGATACACGGGGAGGGAGACACGGGGGGGATGGAGGGAGACACGGGGAGAGACACAGTGACACAGAGAGACCGAGACACAGTGACACAGACACAGAGAGACACAGAGCGACTCACAGAGAGACACAGAGACAGAGACACACAGAGACACAGAGAGAGACAGAGACACAGAGAGAGACACAGAGAGAGACACAGAGACAGAGACACAGAGAGAGACACAGAGACAGAGACACAGAGAGAGACAGAGCGAGACACAGAGAGAGACACAGAGAGAGACACAGAGAGAGACAGAGACACAGAGAGACACAGAGACAGAGAGAGAGACAGAGACACACAGAGACACAGAGAGAGACACAGAGAGAAAGAGAGACAGAGACACACAGAGACAGAGAGAGAGAGAGACAGTGTGAGACAGAGAGACACAGAGACACACACAGAGACACAGAGAGAGACACAGAGAGAGAGAGACAGAGACACACAGAGACACAGAGACGGACAGTGTGAGACAGAGACACAGAGAGAGACACAGAGAGACACAAAGAGAGAGACAGAGACACAGAGAGAGAGACAGAGACACACAGAGACACAGAGAGAGACAGACAGTGTGAGACAGAGACGCGATCGGCGCCTCTGGCCTGCCCCTGCACTGGAGAGGCAGCGCGCCCCTAGCGGCAACACAACGACAACTACAGTCACAACTACAGCCACAACTACAGCCACAACACAACCACAACTGCAGTCACAACTACAGCCACAACACAACCACAACTACAGCCACAACGACAGCCACAACTACAGCCACAACACAGCCACAACTACAGCCACAACTACAGCCACAACACAACCACAACTACAGCCACAACTACAGCCACAACGACAGCCACAACTACAGCCACAACACAGCCACAACGACAGCCACAACTACAGCCACAACACAACCACAACTACAGCCACAACTACAGCCACAATACAACCACAACTACAGTCACAACTACAGTCACAACTACAGCCACAACACAACCACGACAGCCACAACGACAGCCACAACAACAGCCACAACACAGCCACAACTACAGCCACAACACAACCACAACTACAGTCACAACTACAGCCACAACACAACCACAACTACAGCCACAACTACAGCCACAACACAACCACAACTACAGCCACAACACAACCACAACTACAGCCACAACTACAGCTACAACACAACCACAACTACAGCCACAACTACAGCCACAACACAACCACAACTACAGCCACAACTACAGCCACAACTACAGCCACAACACAACCACAACTACAGCCACAACTACAGCCACAACTACAACCACAACACAGCCACAACTACAGCCACAACTACAACCACAACACAACCACAGCTACAGCCATAACTACAGCCACAACTACAGCCACAACCACAACTACAGCCACAACTACAGCCACAACACAACTACAGCCACAACCACAACTACAGCCACAACTACAGCCACAAACACAACCACAACACAACCACAATACACCCACAACACAACCATGGTGGTGGTGGTGGTGATGGTGGTGGTGATGGTGGTGGTGATGGTGCTGGTGATGATGATGGTGGTGATGATGGTGGTGATGTTGGTGGTGATGATGGTGGTGATGATGGTGGTGGTGGTGATAGTGGTGATAGTGGTGATGTGGTGGTGGTGGTGGTGGTGATGATGATGGTGGTGATAGTGGTGGTGGTGGTGGTCATGGTGGTGGTGGTGGTGATTGTGGTTATGATGGTGGTGGTGATGGTGGTGATGCTGGTGGTGGTGATGGTGATGATGGTGGTGATGGTCCTGGTGATGATGATAGTGGTGATGATGATGATGGTGATAGTTGTTATGATGATGGTGATGATGGAGGTGGTGGTGGTGGTGGCGATGGTGGCGATGGTGGTGGTGGTGGCGGTGATGGTCGTGGTGATGGTGGTGGTGATGGTGGTGATGATGGTGGTGGTGGTGGTGATGGTGGTGATGGTGGTGGTGGTGATGGTGGTGGTGATGGTGGTGATGGTGGTGGTGGTGATGGTGGTGGTGGCGGTGGTGGTGATGCTGGTGGTGATGCTGGTGGTGATGGTGGTGGTGATGGTGGTGATGGTGGTGATGATGGTGGTGGTGATGGTGGTGATGGTGGTGGTGGTGGTGGTGATGGTGATGATGGTGGTGATGGTGCTGGTGATGATAGTGGTGATGATGATGATGGTGATAGTGGTGATGATGATGGTGGTGGTGATGATGGTGGTGGTGGTGGTGGCGATGGTGGCGATGGTGGTGGTGGTGATGGTGGTGGTGATGGTCGTGGTGATGGTGGTGATGATGGTGGTGGTGGTGGTGGTGTTGGGGGTGATGGTGGTGATGGTGGTGGTTGTGGGGGTGATGGTGATAGTGGTGGTGGGGGTGATGGTGGTGGTGTTGGTGGTGGTGGCGATGGTGGCGATGGTGGCGATGGTGGTGGTGGTAGTGATGGTCGTGGTGATGGTGATGATGGTGGGCGTGGGGGAGGGGGTAATGGTGGTGATGGTGGGGGTGATGATGGTGGTGGTGGTGATGGTGGTGATGGTGGTGGTGATGGTGGTGATGATGGTGGTGATGGTGGTGGTGGTGGTAGTGGTGATGGTGGTGGTGATGATGATGATGGTGGTGGTGATGATGATGGTGGTGATGATGGTGGTGATGGTGGTGGTGGTGGTGATGGTGGTGGTGGTGATGGCGGTGGTGGTGGTGGTGATGGTGGTGGTGGTGGTGATGATGATGATGGTGGTGATGATGGTGGTGGTGATGGTGGTGCTGATGGTGATTGTGGTGGTGGTGGTGATGGTGGTGGTGATGGTGGTGATGATGGTAGTGATGGTGGTGGTGATGGTGGTGATGGTCGTGGTGATGTTCGTGGTGATGGTGGTGATGATGGTGGTGGTGGGGGTGATGGTGGTGATGGTGGTGGTGATGGTGGTTGTGATGATGGTGGTGATGTTGGTGATGGTGGTGATGATGGTGGTGGTGGGGGTGATGGTGGTGATGGTGGTGATGATGTTAGTGGTGATGTTGGTGATGGTGGTGGTGGTGATGATGGTGGTGGTGGTGATGATGGTGGTGATGGTGGTGGTGATGGTGGTGATGATGCTGGTGGTCTGTTGGGAGTGGTGGCTGTAGTGGTTAGCGCCACGCTGCGCTGTGAACCTGGTTACCATCCCCTAGGTCGACTCAGCCTCAAATGAGTGTGGCTGGTTCCGGTGTAGGGAACATCGCCACAGGGAGAGAGACAAAGGCGGCCGGGCGTGGTGGTGCCACCCACACCACCACCCCCTCTGCGTGTGTGCCCACAGTGCTGGTAGCCTTCACAGTAAGCCTCGGCAAGGTAAGGTAAAAGTTAAAAGGTAAAAACAACGAGCCTACCTTTACCCTACCTTTTGCCATTACCCCATACAAATGACCCGATTGCAGGGTAATTACTGGGGTACTACTACACATGAACAAGGTTTAGTAACAAGTAAATGCTAGGTAGAGCGCTTTATTCATCTATAGAATACTCCCGAATATTCCAATTTTACACGCTTGTTGTCGTAGTTGGTTGTATCCTCAAATATTGTAACTCAATTTGAGCCCACCTCCCAATGTGGTATCGACTGCAAAACTCGCTATACTTATGTCATATTGATGACAATACGATGTTCTATCATTAAAAATAAACAACAACAAAATTAAACTATCTTATTACACGCTTTCATTCAACTCTGTCTGTTGTAGTATCCTCAAATCTTGTAACTCAATTTGTAACCCACTTTCCAGTGTGGTATCGACAGCAAACTTGATATACTTACGTCACTGATGACGATACTATATTCTATCATTAAAAATAAACAACAACAAAATTAAACTATCTTAATACACGCTTTCATTTAACTCTGTTGTTGCTGTAGCATCCTCAAATCTTGTAACTCAATTTGTAACCCACTTTCCCAGTGTGCTATCGACTGCAAACTCGCTATACTTATGTCACACTGATGACAATACTATATTATATCATTAAAAATAAAAATATGTATTTTTAAACGTTATTTTTTTTTAGATGTCATGCTTCGCCTTGGGCCTAATTGTTCATGGCCAACTGACGTTGGCTGTAACTGGCCACGGTCCCCCTTACGTCGTGGTGAGCTTCGGGGCCCACTTCCTGGAGTCGTGTGGGAGTTCTTCCATTACTAGTACGGTACATTTCATTAAAGCAGTGGTTTAAAAAAAAAAAATAACATTACTTATTTGACCATTTCTACCCCCTGTCCGAGCAGAATATTCACAAACGCGAGAGTTCTTCCAGCTTCCACTTCGAACGGTGAACCGGATGCATTGGGTTTTTTTGCGAGCTGAGATGGTCGAGCAATTGCGTTCAGTGAACCTGCAGCGACGTAAATGGGCCGTGTACACTTACCTGTAGGGGCAGACGCAGCCCAGCGGGGACAGTCGCAATACCGCTA